GTGTTGTGGTGTGTGGTTGGTGTTGGTGTGTGTTGGTGTTGGTGTTGGTGTGTGTGTGTGTTGGTGTGTGTGTGTGTTGGTGTGTGTGTGTGTTGGTGTGTGTGTGTGTGTGTGTGTGTGTGTGTGTGTGTGTGTGTGTGTGTGTGTGTGTGTGTGTGTGTTGGTGTTGGTGTGTGTTGGTGTTGGTGTGTGTTGTGTTGTTGGTGTGTGTGTGTGTTGGTGTGTGTGTGTGTTGGTGTGTGTGTGGTGTGTGTGGTGTGTGTGTGTGTGTGTGTGTGTATGTGTTGGTGTGTGTGCGTGCGTGCGTGCGTGCGTGCGTGCGTGCGCAGTGCATGTGCGTGTCAGGGGTGGGGGGTTGGATGTTTACCTTGGGAATTATTACATTTGTGAAGCTAATATTGACTCTAGACTGTGTTACCTCCCCGGCACCAACTCTCTGTTTGACCTCAAAATTAGTACATGCCGGGAGGGTAAGAGGGGGGCAGGGGACAAGGAGAGAGAGAGAGAGAGAGAGAGAGAGAGAGAGAGAGAGAGAGAGAGAGAGAGAGAGAGAGAGAGAGAGAGAGCAGAAAACTCTAAATAACAACTAAGTCAGAATCTCCTACATTTAATTCATTTAAAACAAAAACAAAAAAGTTTCCCATCCGGAAGGGTGGGAGAACGTGGGAAGGGGGGGGGTAGAGTTGAGAGGGGAAGGAGAGTGAGGGGTGAAACGGGAGGGGGTGAGATTGAGAGAGGGGAAGGAGGTGCCAGACTTTAACAGAAGCTTAATCTGTATAAGAATGGTATACAATACCGACAAGATGAAATTAAGACACATATGCAACATCTGGGTATCTTTATTGTAGACGTTTCGCCATCCAGTGGTTTTATCAATACATATTCCAGGACATAATTTGAAGACAGTAGGACTATGTACAGAAGATGAGGTAATCAGTCCCTCAACCTGGGAGTAGGTGCGAAGAGCACCGTAGTAGAGATTCTGAATCTCCAAGACTACGGTGCTCTTCGCACCAACTCCAAGGTTGAGGGACTGATTACCTCATCTTCTGTACATAGTTCTACTGTCTTCAAGTTATGTCCTGGAATATGTATTGATAAAGCCACTGGATGGCGAAACGTCTACAATAAAGATACCCAGATGTTGCATATGCATCTTAATTTCAGCAACTTAATCTCTTAAGACTTTATTTTTGGAGAATATTTCTGAACACCACTGAGGTGTTTTGTGAGAGGAGGGCTCTTGAACTCTAGCTCTGGTTCCAGAGCTTAGCCTTTAACACTTTACCTCTTACGTTAGCTTTTGGATGTTGGTCTCTAGTTATTGGTCCCAAGATTTATTTTCAATTTCCTGCCTTCGAACTCTTAACGTACCTTTCACTGTTATTAGACTTGCTGTCAGACGGCTCTTTCTACTGTGTGTGTGTGTGTGTGTGTTTATTCCATTTGTGACCTGGTTGTGGACATACGACGAAGTATTGGGCTACCATCTGTGTCATTTGGACACATACCACTGTCAGTGCTGGGCTTTCATCTGTGTCATGTAGACACATACCACTGTCAGTGCTGGGCTATCATCTGTGTCATGTAGACACATACCAATGTAAGTGCTGGACTATCATCTGTGTCATATGGATCCTCTCCGGATAAAGTGTGTCCCCTTGTCTCGCCTTCCTCAGTCCTCGAGTATTTATGTGTGGTTCATGTCACCTCCTGCTGTACGGTCCTCGTGGGAGGTGCGCACTCGCTCCAGTCCTTGTACCTCCCACCTTCCCAGCACCGGCATGGAGTCTTACCTCTTTAAAAACATTCTCCAGCACCGCTTTGTTTGGATGCGTAAGAGGTTCCACACTGCTGCTGCTTACTCGAGGAAGCAGCAGCGGGAACAAGATGGACAGATTTAGATTAAGAAAGGGCAAGTGGGAAATACGGCGATGGAGGTGTAGACGAGTGCGACAAACTCCCAAGTAACGTCACTGAGGTGAGAATTCTTGGGTAGCTACCAATACTGGTTGGACGGGTATATGAGTGGGTGTGAGAGGGACCCGCCTAGCATGAGCCCTAATGGTGTTCCCTCATTCGTATGGCTTTTTTTTGTGAGGAAGAATAATGTGTAGTCCACATTTCTGAGGATCATTCCTCATGTTTGCTAATGCAGCATATACCGCTGATCTTTCACGGTATATGCTGCATTAGCAAGCATGTGGTGGATATGTGGGTCAGCGAGCTGCCAGCAGCAACAGTTGGGTTGGCAAGGCAATCACCATACAAGCCTGACCCAGGGCAGGGCTGTGGGAGTACAAAAACTCTCGAAACTCATCGGAGGTACTTCAAAGGAGGAAGCAGCAATATGTTGCAACATCCAGTTCATGGCAGGAATCAAGAGGACTGGCCAGGTGATAACCTCCAGTCATCAACTAGCCAGGTGATAACCTCCAGTCATCAACTGGCCAGGTGATAACCTCCAGTCATCAACTGGTGTTTCTCATTCCCTCCAAGTGGTCTGCTGTTGTGGTTGTTGTCCATGGTTACTGCTGTTGGTTATTGTTGCTTTTTCTTCTTCTCATTCTTCTTTTCCTCCTCCTCCTCCTCCTCCTCCCAGGTGGTCTGGCATCTCTTAATAAAACTCCGGAATATTATTGCTGTCATTTTGGTTGTTGTAGTTACTGTGATTTACAAAGAAAAAAAACACTAAACCCGTATGTGCCTCGGAGTAAGCTTGACTCCTGATTCCAAAGTTACAGCATGTAAACTAATATATATGTCGTGCCGAATAGGTAAAATTGATCAATTAGCAAGAACTCATTTAAAGCTCTTTCTAAAATTTTCTCTTATACGTTTAAAGATATATTTCTTTTATGTTAATGTAAAATTAATAATTTTGTACCAAAAGAACCTTAGAAAACTTACCTAACCTTATTATAACAAGCACAATTTAATTGAGCCTAATCCGACTAAATATATTTTAGATAAGTTTACAGTAATTTAATAATAAACAAACACAGTGAAATATTTTTTTTTCGTTAGGTTCAGAATGATTTTTGCGAAATTATTGCATACACAAATTTTCACTTGCCTCATTTGGTAAGAAGAGCGTTGCTATTTAAGCCAAACTCGCAAGTTTTACGTATTCGGCACGACATATATATAAGCGGACGAAGGACCGAGCCTTCCCCCACTCCCTGTACAGAATGATCCACTCACCGGGTCACTCTCATCTTGGAATATACAGTATCATAACCCGGGGGCTCGGGATACGTACCTTAATGTATATTCTAGTAACCGGAGGTCAACAATACAGAAATAATTCGTTCCAGTGTATGTATTAGCAATGTATAATACGTAATACTTGCCGAGTGAATTTGTAAACAATACACACCAATGTATTACATGCTGAGTATATAAAAATGAGGGTGTCATAGGGTGTATGTGTGTGTAAGAAACCTGCAAGTGTATAAACTGGTGCAGCAAATTACATAAGGTATGAAGCAACATGGCAGAATAAGTATGTGTATAAAAATACAACTATATCATAAAGTGTATTAATAAGTGAAGGTTAGGGGCGCCATGAGCACAGTAAGGGAAACAGTGTATCAACATTCGTGGTCCCAGACTATTTTACCATAAGATATCCGAAACACTGCTGGGATAAGTGCAGAAGTATTCAAGAGGAAACAGGACAAGCGTCTTCACTAGATGCCAAATCAACCAGGCAGTGATGGACATGTGGGTCAGCAGACCAGCAGCAGCAATAGCCTGGTTGACCAGGCAATCATCAGACGAGTCTGGCCCAAGGCCGGGCTCTGGGAGTAGAAGAGAACTCGAAACTCACCAAAGGTATATCAAAGGCAGGCTTGTCTGGTGCTTGCCTGGTCAATCAGGCTGTTGCTGCTGGCAACAGCCTGGTTGATCTGGCACCTGGTGAAGATACTTGTCCAGTTTCCTCTTGAAGACTTCTACACTTGTCCTAGTATTGTTTCTGATATCTTATGATAAGATGTTGAATAGTCAGGGACCCCAGACGTCAGTAGAGTGAGTGTTGGTGTATAAGACACTAAAATAATCACAATAGAATGAATGTCGGTGCGTGAAGCACGAAAATACAGAGCAGAATGCGTTTGGGTGTATAAAATTCAGGAACATGAACAGCAGTGTGATTATATAAATGTGGGCACAGTAGAACTTTGAGTGTACAAAATACAGGATTTTGTATACATGGTTTTGGAAAAACCTACAGGTTGATGAGACGCCTGTGCAACATTTGTAAATCTTTACCCTGGAAACGTTTTGCCCGCCAGTGGCTTCTTCGGTCCAATACACAGAAGAACTAGTGGATTTTTCCACTGGTGATGCCACCTACCATTGCTTCACCTCACCTGTCTGCAGTATATAAGCCTCTTCTCCGCGCAAATGGTGATGGACTGACCACATGGACTCCAGGCTGAGGGACTGATTACCTCAAACTCCTTATCTTCCACCGTTTTTCTCTGTATTGGACTGAAGCCACTGCCGAAACGTTTCTCCAGAATAAAGATTCGCAAATTCTGCACAAGTGTCTCATTTATCAAAAACACATGTATGTACCACAAGGTGTACATTATTAGTATCTACTAGACAGATATACCTTTACATGTGAAACATCTGGGTATCTTTAATTTGTAGACGTTTCGCCATCCAGTGTCTTTATCAATACAATACAAGGACATAATATGAAGACTGTAGAAGTATACATAAAAGACGAGGTAATCAGTCCCTCAGTTTAGGGGTAGGTGATGAGCACAGTAGTCTTCAAGACTACGGAGCCCATTACCTACTTCTACAGTCTTCTACCTACTTCTACATTACCTACCTATGCCTCTACAGTCTTCACATTATGTCCTTGTATTGTATGGTATTGATAAAGCCACTGGATATTAAAGATACCCAGATGTTGCACATGTGTCTAATTCTTCATCTTGTCGGTACTGTATACCAATCATACACACAGTAAGAATACTCACTGGTAAGCTGACGGGATGTCTGGTAGCAGCCGCCGCGGCTACTGCAGCGTTCATAGCTGCTGGGTACATCCTGGCGAGAGTCCTCACCCCCACCAACACACCTCTACCACTGCTACACCCAGGGTGTAGCACACCCTTTTCGGGCTAAAAAAAAAAAACACACACTCCCACGTTCACTCGTTCCGCTTAAAACACTTCCAAAATAACTGGTGTTCACTGCTTACTAAATCAAGGATAATCACTGTGCGTTGAGCAACAATCACTTTGGTTTCACGTTAACGCGAAAATCACACACATTGCAGGTACACTCAACGCAGATAAGTGATCCAGATTGTGCGGTTCACTAACAGTCACCGTGACTGCTCTTCATGTTACCACCGTGAGATCACCAGCACTGCTGAAAGTCGTATACACCTCCATCTTTCAAGCTACACGGAGCGCCTCTCGGAAAAAAAACACTTCCTTCTTTTCTCCGTTTACATCACATCCAAACTGTGTACAGCAGACGGTCCCGCACTCAACGTGAGCATCAGCGCCTGTCACACCTGCAACAACACCCCCACTTACAATTATCTCTATTGTGATATGCTTGACTGTGCCCTCTTTCCCTCCCTCCCATCTCTCTCCTTTTAAGAACCTAAGAACATAAGGAGCACTGCAACAGGCCTACTGGCCCATCCTAGGCAGGTCCAACTTACACTCAATTTGTGTTTACAAATACCCAAAGTTCTCACTTCAGTGACACTGGGGAGTTTGTGAATGATAACAACACAAAAGGTTCAAAGTAACAACAGCACAAAAAGTTCCGTTTGGGAAAAATATTAATGATATTCTTAAGAAGCAGATATAACCACCCATGACCTGCTCACTGCACGTGGGATCAACTAATTAATATCGCAATTTTCTAGTACTCTAACATCAATAATTTTTATTTAATCCCTAAAAACAGGAGTTAGAGTAAACTCCTGGTGTATATACACTGAGGTATACACCTCCGTGTATAAACATTAACTGAACATGTATATATCTTCCTTAATTACTTAAATTCGTGCGTGTCTGTATACTGACTACATTCAAGATAAAGACTGTGTTCTCCAGTGATTGTAAAGACGTTGTCTATGAGCGAATACACTCAGCTGTAAAGCAAACACAAGCACAAACAAGGAGCTGTGATTCAACCCCTGAAAGCACAGCTAGGTGGGTGCATGTGTATACAAACTAGCCGCTGGAAGCAAACACCATACACAGTTTCAAGAGTATGATCGTGCCCTGATGGCTAGAAATCGGAAAAGTAGGTTGCAGTAGGAGTTAAATCAGGGGTCCAGGAGCTGGGAATCGACCTCTGTAAAAACTTGTTATGTGTGTGTACTTTCTTCTCCTCCTCCTCCTCTTCCTCTTTCTCCTCCATTTCGTGTCTCCCTCCCTCTCCTATCTCTGTCCCTCTCCTGTCTCCCTCCATTTTCTGCCTCCCTCCCTTTCCTGTCTCCCTCCTTCTCCTGTCTCCCTCCCACTAATGTCTTCCTTTTTCCCTCCATTTTCTCCCCCGCCATCACACCTTTCCCCTGGTGGACTGACAGTGCTGCCACCACCTGTCCCGTGTCCCTGGGTTGAGTAATGAACGAGGCCGCCCCTTTGATCAGCAGTCGGCGAGCAGCCGCCACCCCTGCTCACTACTCTATCATCCACTACCGTCCACCCATCACCCTTCACCAACATCCACCCCTCATCCTTCAGTAACATCCACTCATCCTTCAGCAACATCCACTACTCATCCTTCAGCATCATCCACTACTCATCCTTCAGCAACATCCACATCCATCCACTCCTCATCCTTCAAGAACATCCACTCCTCATCCTTCAGCAACATCCACTCCTCGTCCTTCAGCAACATCCACTCCTCATCCTTTAAGAACATCCATTCCTCATCCTTCAGCAACATCCATTCCTCATCCTTCAGTAACATCCACATTCATCCACTCCTTATCTTTCAAGAACATCCACTGCTCATCCTTCAAGAGCATCCACTCCTCATCCTTCAAGAACATCCACTCCTCATCCTTCAGCAACATCCACTCCTCATCCTTCAGCAACATCCACTCCTCATCCTTTAAGAACATCCATTCCTCATCCTTTAGCAACATCCACTCCTCATCCTTCAGCAACATCCACATTCATCCACTCCTTATCCTTCAAGAACATCCACTCCTCATCCTTTAAGAACGTCCACTCCTCATCCTTCAAGAGCATCCACTCCTCATCCTTTAAAAACATCCACTCCTCATCCTTCAACACATCCACTCATCCTTCAACACATCCACTCATCCTTCAACACATCCACTCCTCATCCTTCAACAACATCCACTCCTCATCCTTCAACAACATCCACTCCACCTCCTTCAGCAGCATCCATTCCACATCCTTCAGCAACATCCACTCCTCATCCTTCAACAACATCCACTCCTCATCCTTCAACAACGTCCACTCCTCATCCTTCAACAACATACACTCCACATCCTTCAGCAACTTTCATTCCACATCCTTCAGCAACATTCATTCCACATCCTTCAATAACATCCACTCATCCTTCAACAACATTCACTCCTCATACTTATGCAACATCCGCTCCTCATCCTTCAACAACTTCCACTCCTTATTCTTCAGCAACATTCGCTCCTCATCCTTCAACAACATTCACTCTGCATCCTTCAACAACATCCACTTCTCATCCTTCAACATCCACTCCTCATCCTTCAACAACTTCCACTCCTCATTCTTCAGCAACATCCACTTCTCATCCTTCAACAACATTCACTCCGCATCCTTCAGCAACCTCCACATCCATCCACTCATCCTTCAGCAACCTCCACATCCATCCACTCATCATTCAGCAGCACCCACATCCATCCACTCATCCTTCAGCAACACCCACATCCATCCACTCATCCTTCAGCAACCTCCACATCCATCCACTCATCCTTCAGCAACCTCCACATCCATCCACTCATCATTCAGCAACACCCACATCCATCCACTCATCCTTCAGCAACCTCCACATCCATCCACTCATCCTTCAGCAACCTCCACATCCATCCACTCATCATTCAGCAACACCCACATCCATCCACTCATCCTTCAGCAACACCCACATCCATCCACTAAACCTTCATCAACCTCCACATCCATCCACTCATCCTTCAGCAACCTCCACATCCATCCACTCATCATTCAGCAACACCCACATCCATCCACTCATCCTTCAGCAACCTCCACATCCATCCACTCATCCTTCAGCAACCTCCACATCCATCCACTATCCTTCAGAAACCCTCCACATCATCCACTCATCCTTCAGCAACCTCCACATCCATCCACTCATCCTTCAGCAACCTCCACATCCATCCACTCATCCATCACCTGGGATTTATTCGTGGTGTTTTATCATTCGTGTTAAGCTTAAAAAAAATAATTTTGTTCTTGTGCAAAAAAATATTCAGTGATATTTTTTTCAGCAGCGATCAGTAATTTATTGTTATATACAGTATTATTTTTTTACAGGAAAATGCTGTGAGTTTGCATTAAATAATTGCTGATTCAGTGTGTGGTTAACGTGGTTAAATTGGTTAATATTTTAAAGGCATTCTCACTTAATACTGCGGTGTGCTAATACTGGTCTGGTCTGGGACCGGGCCGCGGGGACGATGACCCCTTCCCTTGGAATTGAGTACAGGTAAACTGAGGTAAGGCTATATAGGGCAAGGGGCGACTATTGGCCAGGGAGGAATAAGGAGGGAAGAGGAAGGTACCGTAAGTTGTGGAACTGTGCTGCCTCACGTTGTTGTGATTTTATTGTCTCTCTGTTGAGTTGTGTTCTTCCCTTGCATCCCTCACCTCTTTCTCCCCCTCTCCCGACAGCGCCCCTCCCTTCATATACCCTTCCAGCACCTCCCTCACACATCCAACCAGCACCCCCACACATTCTACCAGCACCCCCCCCCCAGCCCCTTCACACACCCTACCAGCACCCCCAGCTTCATACGTCCTCTTCCTTAAATGCTGTCTCTGTAATCCCCTGGGGGAACCCTTAATCTCCCAACATAAAAGCCCCCCCCCCACACCTAACCAACCACCACCCCACAATTTCCCAGCCACCCATCGCATACTATTATATGCTCTCTACACTCCCACACTACCAAACACTCAACCACCGCCGCACCACTCTCTACCACCACCACTACCGCCACTCCAACCCCATCACAGAAACCACCACCACTGCTACCACACTTCACCCTCACTTTCATCCGACACTTCCCAGCAGCCCCACTTCAAGACTACACCACAATCCCGCCCTGGCAACCCTCAAACACACCTCCGTACCACTTGTGATCCCCACCTAAATCTTTCCACCACAAAACAATAAAAACTCACCCCAACCCTCTCCACCAACACCACCCTTCACCACTATCATCACCACCCACTCCTGAAGCAGGTGACAGGTAAATCAAAGGTAAAATCACCACTGTCACCAACACCATAATCAACAAACACACCCACCACTCACTGTCACCACCCACAACTAGCATTACCACCCACCGCCACCACCACACCCTTCACATCCACAGCCACAACCATTATCACAACCATCTACCACACCCTCACCCACCACAGCTGCCACCACCTACCCCACACCACCACCACAACACCCTGTCTTCCCCTCTCAGTTTTTCACTTCCCCCCTTTCCCCACCCCCCACGCTCCAACCTCACGTCTCCCCCCGGACACATGCATCATTAAGGCTTCACTTGGTGGTCAGCCGCAGCTTGGGCTCCACTTAAAAGGCTTCCTTAATATAGCTTTAACTTCTGAGGATTCTATGTTGGGCGCGCGCGCGCGCGCGCGCGTGCTTGTGTGTGCTTGTGTGTGTGTGTGTGTGTGTGTGTGTGTGTGTGTGTGTGTGTGTGTGTGTGTGTGTGTGTGTGTGTGGCTGCAGGGGCCGAGTCCTAGCTCCTGGTCCCTTATATTCATAGCAGATCTAAACTCAGTAGCCACTTTATTAGGTACACCCGTACACCTGCTCGTTAATGCAAATATCCAATCAACCAATCATGTGGCAGCACCTCAGTGCCTAAAGTCATGCAGACATGGTTAAGATGTCCGGTTGTTGTTCAGACTGAACATCAAAATAGGGAAGAAATGTGATCTAAGTTACTTTGACGGTGGAATGATTGTTGGTCCAAACGACGTAGTTTAAGTATCTCAGTAACTGTTGATCTGGGATTTTCACGCATAAGTCTCTATAGAGTTTACAGAAAATGGTGTGAAAACACAAAACATCTGGTGAGCGGAATTTCTGTGGGCGAAAACGCATTGTTAATGAGAGAGGTCAGAGTATGACCAGACTGATTGCAACAGTAGTACGCAACAGAGCATCTTTGAACACACAGCACGTCAAACCTTGAAGTGGATGGGCTACAGTGGGCACAGGCTCACCAAAACTGAATGAAAGTCGAAGATTAGAAAAACGCATCCTTTTTCTTATCTATGTCAC